TAGATACATCCACACGGAGGGACGGCGCCAGCCTCGAGAGTGATCCCGTGACGTATGGGCCGATCCGGAACCGTTCCGGTGGGAGCCTCGAAGACGTCTCTATACTCGTCCAAGAGGTGAGAAATGCGTGGGTCCGGCGGTGACGCGGCTGGTCCGTCCGGGCGAGGGGAGAGCATGCAAGAATACAAGGCCCATCTCCTCGACGTCATTCCGAGCAATGGCGTCGCGAATTCTCGCAACGGAAACCACGTGACAAGCAATCGAAGTGTGAGGGGTCGCGACCGTACATGGGACTAACACTCCGTTCCGATCACGGATGTGAACGGTTCGGTCATGAAAGTTCACCGGATGATGGGCGCTACGCAACCAAGACATGCCTAGAATCATGTCGAACTTGGTGTCGAGGATGTCAAAAGACACCGGCTCACACGCAAGTGGCGCAAAGTATATCGGAACGCCGTCGACGCATCGGTCAATTGACTTTGGGGTGCGGCCGTCCGCGAGTGTGACTTGCGTGGGTTGCGTCTTCCTTCGAACGCGCGGGCCAAGGCTTGCGCGGGCCATAAAGGCTTGGCTCATAAAGTTGCGAGACGCTCCAAAATCAATCAAGGCACTACAGGTTGCCTTTCCGATTTGAATGCGGATATAGAGCAAAGGCGCGTCAGTTTCGGCGTACTCGCGGTCAATCTTCGCAAGATAGGAGCGGAGATCGACAACCGCTACTCCGTCGTCCGTCAACGGAGCTGGTACTGTAGTGTGCAAATAGGAGCGTAGATGTGCCATCAACGCGTTGCAATGCGGCCTTGGTAAGGTTCCGGTCGAGGGTAGAGGTATCCAAGCGAAGTCCTCTCTTGTGAGCGGGTCAAGCTCCTCAAGTCTTGACCACGCCGTCGAGTCCTCGGAAGTCAGTGGCGAGCTGACCGGATCTCTTGCCGACGGTGTACAGGCTGCACATACGCTAGCTAAATGCACGTGGCTCGGCTGGTCTAATGGTGGTACCAGCTGGGTGGCATAATCCTCGTACGTAGCACGAGAATCAGCGACTAACGCATGCTCCCCGGTAGTGACATCGATTGCTAGCAAGGCAACCGGGTCCGGCGGAGTGAGGAGAGACGTCGCCCCTCTCCTTGCGTAACTCAGTTTCCCGAGTTAGTTGGACGGGGTACGCGTGCCTTGCCCTTTTCGGGGCATTGTGAGGTCACATGAGTGACACCATTGCACCATAGGCAATATCCGTACCGTTGACGTAGGTCATATACTTCCTTGGTTATCTTGTATGCAGTCCATGGCTGCTGCCCTGTTCCCGTCGATGCCGTCTCTTGTGTCGCCTTGTTCTTCCGAACTCTCTTGGGACGCTTCGGCGGGAGCGCTGCTACAATTCCTCCATCACTCGAGGATGTTGTTGCAGCATGGAGATCGTTTGTTTCTTCATAAATCACGACATTGTTATGTGTCGGACGTTGATAGCCCTGCTTAGCCACATAATGCGGCTGGGATTGTTTCTCATTAGCGGCCTTGTCGTCCGTTTGGATGACCAGGTTTGCGCGATCCAGGATAGCCTGGAACGAGGTATAGTCGTACTCGTTACTGAGTGCCGACCGCAATCCTGCGCACGATCACGAGAAGAACTCGGATCGTTGATTAGGAAAAGTCAAATCGACGCCTGGCGTGGTCACTATCTTTTACCACTTGGTTGTCCAGTCCCGAGTTGGCATACTCCCTTGAGAACAGGTGTACACCTCGTTCATGGCTGCCTTCACGACGTTGCGGACCATGAACCGGGTGAACCATAGCTTCTCGAACTCTTTCCACGTGAGGTGCGTGTGGAGTTCGGCGATGGTGCATTTGTGGGTAGTCGCCAGATGGTTCATCCATGCCTGCGCTCCTCCAATCAGCTGTAAGTAGACCGCCTTCATCATGTCGTCGGTCGGGACAGTGCGGCGTGATGCTTCCGTGAGGAAACGTTGCCACCATGCCAAAGCGTTCATCTTGTTGTGGTCGTCGAACTTGCTGATGTCGAAGTGCGGCATCTTGTAATTCTTCATGGCGGCGTCCGGTTTCGTTTGCAGCTTGGTGATGTCCGTCTTGATGGCGGCCACCGTGCTACTGATCGTGTCCGGCCCATTGAAAGCACCTATGTCGCCGATGAGATTGACGACATGATCGATGCGCCCATTGAGCTGCTTCGTCATGTCTGTCATATCTGTCGTGCAGCCTGGCGCTGCTTGGGGAGGCCTTGCCTCCAAGGTAGCAATGCGTGCATCCAGCTGTTTCAGCTGGTTGTCTGCGACCTTGACAGCTGCTGCAAGTATCTTCACGTTGTGGCTCAGATCGTGCTGCAGCTGCAGTGTGGACCGGGAATGCAGCTCCCCCATGGTGCTGTTCCAAATGACGGCGCGCATTGTATGGAGTAGAATATCTGCCAGGTCTTGCCTCTCTTGCTGTACTGTTGTCGGCTCGCTGCCGGGTACCGGGACATAACGCATCCCATTGAGCACCGCTGTCCATTGTGCTTGGTAAGCATTTACAAGTTCAGCGCTGCCGGCGTTGAGCTGATCGATCGCCAACTGGTCTGCCTCGGCTTGACGCCGGGTTTGTGCTGCAGCTTCCTCTGCTAGCCGTAGTCTTTTGGCTGCGGCAGCCTCTTGCTTTTCCTTGGCCTGGGTGAGTGCGGCTGTATAGTCCTGCATTCTCTGAATGAAGTCCTGGGGGGCTCATTCCACCCTTGCACCGGACAGACCGGTAAGGGTTCGGCATTACTAGCTGTCGAACCCTCAGATGATGATCCGCTGTGTGGCATGTTCGCCATCTGAGTACTGGTCTGTGGCGGTTGTGGAACTGGAGGTTGCTGTCGCTGTTGGAGATCGGCGATCCTCTTGCTGCGTCGTGGCTGCTGTTCGGAGGTTGGCCCTGCTGGCATCAGAAACTGTTGCTGAAGACTGGCTCGTCCGAAGGATCGCAGAACAGTGTGAGGGAGAGGGTGGGCACAGGGATAGAACA